TCCTGATTCAGCAGTAGCAGACAAAAGGCCCAACGTTTTGAAATGCCGGCTTTCTAGATCATGCTATGAGCACAACCTTTGGATTTTTCAGGATACTGAACATTTGAATGGGGTTTATGACCAACATGTAATGGCTTGCTTGGTAGCAAAGTGGACCAGCTATGTGCCTAGAGATAGAGCATTATGAATGGCTCTTGGAGGTGGCGAGCAGCTAGACCATGCTGGGATGGTCAAGACAAGCAGGCAGTGTGGTATTTCCCCTAGCAATGACACAACTTAAGTTTGTAAGAAGTGCTTAGTGTTTTAAGAAGCACTTCTGATCAGTAAAGAATTAAAGATGCATAATAAGACAGATGCAGACATAAAATACCTCTAAATGAGAAACAGTGTTTAAAAAATGTATGTAGGCTTGGGAGAGAGAAGATAAAGAGTATAGAGTAAATGGTTTAGAAAAAAATATAAAACAAAGTCTTTAAAGAGACAGAGTACAGACAGTCATAAATTAAAAGGAATAAAGAAAAATAAGCTATGTAAAGATGAAAAATTCACAGAGAGTCTGGATTATGTATATTATTGTGTTTTCTTTGAATTTTTGACTGTGAAGGAGCTAAGTACAGAGAGACATTTCATTATATGTACTGCTAAGTTAAACAAAGATAAAGGTATCTTTACTTCAGAATTTGAGCCTACGGATATGTTGCTTTGGAAAAGAGGTTCTATTTTAGTTTCCATAAAGGATGAGAAGCTGTGGAATCCTTCCAGACTAATGTGGTTTGATTGACCAAAACTTTCTGAAAGGTTGCCGTGAACAAATCCAAAAAATTACTTCACTCAACAAAAAGCAGGAAGCAGTTTGGAGAAAAACTACACCCATATTTCCAAATATTGTTTATAAATGTTTGTTTACATTTAAAAGGGGATATGCTATAGAGATCTGCATTGGTATGCATCTTGGTTTATTGATACAGATTTAAAGTCAATTTTGTCATATGTTTATTTCTGCTCTCAATTAAGGTATTGTGTTTGTACAGATCATTTAAAGGTATAATATATAATTCAGAAATATAGGTTAATAGAGTGTCATCTATAATAATCAAGCTTGTAGTCATGTTAGTTAGATTTTCTAGATGTACACAGATGTATTTCAGATGAATAGGCATTCTTCAAACTTTTCTTTCAAAGATTTTAGAATATGGTATTTAGAATGTTTTAATAACTTAGGACTTATCATGACAATGAAACACATCCTGGTCGCACCAATTACTTCAAGAGGAAGATGGACATCGAAGAGGCTTCTTGTGGAGTTTGCTAGCCATTAGGGCAGGAAACTGCTCTTGCCTGGGACTGCTTGATGAACTGGACATGTAGCACCTCAGAGAAATGACTGCTGAACTTGCCTAAAGGTGAAATGATTCTTCAGGGTCTTGCTTCATAAAAAAGTCTGCCAGACATTCTGCAGGACACACACATACACACACACACACACACACACAAAAAAAAAAAAACATTACTGACAAACTGCCAATATAGGTGAAACTGTCTTTGAGATTTCATGCTTCATGAAAAAGTCTGCCAGATACTTTAGGCCTTTGGCTGAAGATGGATGCCCCAATTGTACACAAGAACTCTTGGAGACTGTCCAGGAGCAAGATGTCTCTGTCAATTCTAGAGTTTTAGAAGTTGCTTACAATGAACTTATTGTTTACTTAGGTAATATTATATCCTTCTGGAGTCTTTGATGGAATTGAAGAATCTATAGTTATAGTTTTCCTTAGTCACGATAAAAGATAATATAGATATAAATATTGTAACTATAATTTTTACTTGATACCTGTTTTCTTATATGAAATTTTACTATGTTAAATTTAAAACCTTCTTTTTTATTTAAACAGAAAAGGGGAGGACATATGGGATTCCCTTCAGTATTCTGTGAATACTATTGGTGAATAAAGAAACTGCTTTGGCCTGTTGATAGAGCAGATCTTAGGTAGATGGGGGAAAACTAAACTGAATGCTGGAAGAAAGGAGGCAGAGTCAGCGAGAAGCTATGTAGCCCTGCCAGAGATGGATGACAGAACTTGAACCAGTAAGCTACATTCATATAGCGATACATATATTAATAGAAATCGGTTAAATTAATATGTAAGAGTTAACCAATAAGAAGCTAGAGCTAATGGGCATGGAGTGATTTAAGTAATACAGTTTCTCTGTGATTATTTCAGGGCTAAGCAGCCAGAAACTAACAAGTGGCTTCCTCCAACAATCACCACTTAAAAAAATATGCTACCATTTTCTAGCATATGTTGGTATCTTAGAATCAGATGCATGCAGCTGTGTGAGTTTTCTTCTGGGTCCTCTATTTCATTCCATTGTTCTATATGTATGTTTTGTGCCAATATCATGGTAATTTTGTTATTTAGGTTATATAGTACAATTTGAAAGTACATATTGTAATTATCTTTCTTCTCATGAGTATCATTGGCATTTTCATGGGGATTATATTTTCACTATATTAATCTACCACACCATGACAATGGGGGTCTTTCCATTATCTGGAGTTTTCTTTGATTTCTTTCTTCTCTGCAATGCAGTGTTTTTTTTCTAGATGTCTATCACTATCTTTATTAAGCTTATTTCTAAGAATTTCATTGTTCTTGAAGTTCTTTTGACTAAAATTGTTTTTCTGATTTGTTTCTAAGTTGACACATAGTTGATCTATAAAAAAGCTATTATATTAGCTTGGTATAGGCTGTTTTGCTGAGTTTGCCTTTAGGCAAATGTGTTCGAGTAGAGATCATATTGTCTTTGGGATAATTAGTCTACTTCATTCTCTATTTATATTCCTTTTATTCAGTTCTCTTGCTGCTCTGCCTTGAATTCATTTGTAAGTGCAATACAGAATATGTGTGCTGAACGTGGATTGGCTCTGGGTTTGCTGAACACGCAGTCTTTTTTTATATTGAGGTGTGACCCTTGATCCTGTTTGTGCACAATATTGAACTTACCTGTTTGTACAGGCTGAATCATCATAGTATCCCTGGAATGAAACCAACTTGATCATGGTGCATGATTTCTTTTAATGTGGAGTTGAATTTGGTTTGTAAGCTCTCTGTTAAGTGTTTTTATGTCTATGTTCACCAAGAACTCTCTCTCTCTTTCTCTCTCTCATCCTTACCTGGTTTTAATATCAGTATAATATTTGTTCAAAACATTGAGTTTGAAAGTATTGGCTCCATTTCTATTTTGCAGAATATCTTGAGGGATGTTAGATATCAGGGACTCTACCTTATACTGCTCTTTTCTTCGTTGAGAAATATTTGTTGTTCTAAAGCACAGTATTTGTTATTGATCTGTTCATATTTTATGTTTTTAATTCAATTGTATATAAAATTTTAGAAATTTATCCATTTCTTCTATATTTTTAATTTATTGAAGGAAAGGCTTCAAAAATAAATTCTAACAATTCTCTCAAAAATGTCTGTTTGAGAATGTCAATTTTCACCACTAATTTGTTGGATCTTCCCAGGGTTTCTTTTCCTTTTTTAAGATGTCAGTCTCTTTAATCTTTTCAAAGAACCCACTCTTTGTTTCACTCATTCTCTTTGTTATTCTTTTATGTATGATTGCATCCATGTCAGCCATCCTCTTTATGAGTTCTGTTTGGGTTCTGGTTGGTGCTTGGGTTTCAAAAACATTGTGCTGTATCCTCAACTTATTTGTCTGATACTGTCTGATTTTTTTAATACAAGTACTTGAAAGAAATATAGGCTTGTATTAGATATACCTTACCTCTTCTTAGCAATAGAATGTATTTGTTTTGCTTTAGTTTCTGAAGAAAATTATTTGCAGATATAGAACCCAGCATTGGTAGAGTCCCCTCCTTGATGGCTGCTTTGAATTTGCCATTCCTTTATTTTGTGTTCTCATATTTGTTAGCCTGTTTCTGATGAAAGGTTGATGGACATTCATCTTATTCCCATATACGTCAATGGTGTTCTATCCTGTGTTTCTAAGATTTTTTTCATTACTATTAGCAATTTGAGTTAGTGTGGATACAGTTTGGTTCTTGGGTGTCATAAGGTGAAAGGAGAAAGGAATCCCACAAGTAATCCACTGACCTCCAGAGGCACTCCATGTCACAAGTGTAAGCATACAAATAATAAATAAGTAGCTTTGCCGTAGGTCCCTGAATTCAGTCCCCAGAACCACAACAGTAACAATATTATTCATAATAGTAATCAGGAGCAAGATGCTCCTTCAACAAATGTTAACTAGGCATCCATGGATGCACGTTTTTGGCAAGCATAGCTCTGTTAAAGGGAAGTGATTTCTTAAAGAGGTGAGAGCACTGCTTCTGAGTGCTGATGTTAAAGACATTCGTCACCACACTCCATCTCATTTCTTTTTAATTTTAATTAAAACATAATCACATCATTTCTTCCCTTCTCTTTCTTCTCTTCAGTCCTGCCCATGTCTCCCCACTCAGACTAATGACCTTCTTAAAAATCAATTATTATAGTTGCTATCTATGTAAACACATGGGTATATAAATACAACCTCCTGGGTCCATTTTGTTTCTGGTCTGTTCATGTTTTCAGGGCTGGCCACTCCACTTAGTATAGAATATCCAGTTAGAGAACCCCTCCTTGGAAAACCAAATCTCCCCATCAGCAGCTTTTAGTTGCCTGTAGTTCTTTCTCTAGGGATGGGGCCCCTTGAGATTTCCTGGTTCCACTCAGCCTATCCATTGGTGCCCTTTAAAACCACGTTTCCTGTGTGTTCCCCTGGGAACCTAGTGCCAGGCACCTGGCTGGGCACAGCACTAGTCACTATAGAATTACTCCTGGACACCTGCAGGGCAAAACACAGCCAGGAAGTGCAGGTGAGGGAAGGTTGGGGAGGAAAGGGTAAAAACTCTGAGGGGAGGGGCGGGGCGGGACGGGGCGGGGCGGGGCGGGGCGAAGAGCTCTGTGCCCTTGATTAGAGCTGCTCCCTCAAGCTGATTGGAAGCTATTCTAAGAAACGTTGGTCCGGCAAGGGAGCCCAGCTTCAGGGAGGAAATAGGAGGGACACAGGAAGGGATAGGAAGGGACTAATGAAGGGATCGGTTCTGTGGGGAGCCCTTGGTGGTTAACACCTGGGACTTGTCCCAGTTCAGACTCTCATTCCTCAAAGAACCGGTTTCAGTTCCAGCCATGCTAGCTGCTGCGGGTTCCCTGGTGGCTGCTGTCTGGGCTGCGCTCCATCTCAGGACTCTGTTGCTGGCTGCTGTCACCTTTCTGTTTTTGGCTGACTACCTCAAAAATCGGCACCCCAAGAACTACCCACCGGGTCCGAGGGGTCTGCCCTTCGTGGGCAGCATTTTCCAGCTGGACTTTGAGAAGCCCCACCTCTCAATACAGCCGGTAGGATGGGCAAAGGGTGCCTAGCTCTGTCCTGATGTAATCGTGAGCTACAGGAACAGGGGACATCTAGGTACTAGGACAGACGACCAGGTTCAAAGGGTGGTGGTGACAACCTGCTATTCCAAACGAAAACCCTGTGTTCTCCTTTAAGAAATATGCTGTTCAATTTTCAAAAAGTTGGAGATAATTCTTATCCTTGTACTTTTGGGTTTTAATTTTTGTGGTAATTCTTTTATTGTCTGAGAACGCACTGTAAATGATTTTAATTCCTTTAACCTTCATTATTTAAGTCCAGGTGTATTGAAGGAGGCATGGTGATATATCTTGACAAAGAAGCCCTGCCAACTTGAGAAATGTGTTGGAAGGTGGTACCTCCACTTACTTGGTTAAAGTTCTTGTTGAGAAAAAAGAAGTATATTTTTCTCTTGACTGGAGTTTTCTACAAATATTAGTTCTCTCTTATTAATCCTTGTTTGGTCCTTCTACATCCTTGCTGACTGTTCCTCTACTGATTTTATCAACTCCAGAGAAAGATGCACTGGAATCCCCAGCTCTGCTGGGAGTCTGACTCTTTCCACTCAGTTCTGGAAGCTCTCCCCTATATTGGAAAGACTGTCATGCGCACTATGTACACATGTACGACTGTGGTTCTTCTTTCTGGTGAATGACCATCTTCCATGTAAAGTTCCTCTTTATCCACAGTATTTTCCTTGCTTAGATAGTGAATCCTCCAGCCATGTTTAATTATACCTGTCACTTCCCATTGCATGTGAAGAGTGAGCATGTCTTATTATTTATTGCTATTTAATGCTTTAAGCCCATAATTTATTCCCACCTCTGTTTTTTTTTTTCCCACTATCCCTTCCCTGTGTGTTTCTCAGACACTCTCCGAGTGGATGCCTTTCTGTTCATCTTCTCTCTCTTTACATCTCTTCTATTGTCCTCCCAGCATCTGTTCTGTGTTACTCATTACGCACACACAGCTCATGAGAGTTTGCTAACAGCATTTTCCATGTGAAGTGCAGCGACTACAAACATGGGGGAGCCCTCTCCCCTGTATGATGCACTGCCCCAGGTGCTGTCCCCACTCACTGAGACGCACATCCCACACTGCCCTGCTCTTCAGTGTCAGTGCAGCTGGGACTCGAAGGCACAGGAGTCTGTTGTCTTTGCCCCTTACTCGTCCTCCCATAGCTGTCTTTTCTCTGACCTTTCAAGCTCATCATTTCCTTTCTGACCTCAAGCACTTTCTTTCTTCATTCCCTCAGAGGAGGCTGTCACAGAAAGAAGCTTCTTAGCTGTGCCCTCCACATAATGTCTTTACCTCCTTCCTACACTGTCTTTACCCTGATTGTAGAACACTGGGTTGATTATCTGCTGCACTTAGCATTTTTAGATGTCCTCCCACTTCTTCCGGCCCTTTTGGTTTCCCTATAAGTAGCAAGACATTCTCTCTCTGCTTTCAAGAGATTTCTGTGTTTTGAATTTTCAGGCTGATATTGACAGTTTTGCTTTCACTTGTCGTTTTATGCCGTTGAGTTCTTCATGGTAGATCTGTATTTTGCCAAACTAGGAAGTTTCAACCATACTTCAAGAATTTTCTCTTTCCTGTTTTTTTTTTTGGGGGGGGGACATCTGTTTAATGAGGCACAGTTGTGATGCCTCTGGTGCTGGGTCTTCCTTTTTGCTGTCTGCTTTCTCTGTGCAGTACAGGGTGGACCTTCTTCTCACATTACTAGGCGCCTCTTCTAAAGCACAACCCCAATTTATAAATTGTTAGGATTATTTTATTATTGGCTCTGTTGACATATTTTTTATGACAATGAACCTAAGGTTTGTAGATTTGAAAATAGATACAGAAAATATCACCATTTTTCTCCCAAATCACACATATGGAAGAATAAGAACCCGGAGTCAAGCAGGTTATATACCTTCCAATTTAATGTCTTGAGGCCCAATGAATTATCTCCCTTAAAAAAGAAAAAAACAATAAACTCTTCAAACTTCTTGATTGAAATCAAGAGAGTCCACTTAATGCTTTTGGTGGTGAAACTTCTGAGCCTAAAACATACTTGCCTAAAAGGTCAGGCCTAAAAGCAGCCTTGTTTCCTTTCTAAGTTTTCTTAGAGAGCTTTCTAGCTTTCCCTCATCAAAAAGCTGACTGACTCTGGCAACAATAAAACCTGTTCTGACTTGCACGCTGCCTAGAATTGTGAACTTCTTGCAGTTGAGGACTTTTGAATTCCCTATCACTTGTCGTGACCTTTGGCTATGTGTCCTCTAATAAGACGTTTCTCCTAGAGGAAGTAACCTTTATGTTCCTGCGTGTACTTATTCTTCAGTCTTTGTATCTGTATGGTGTGATATCACAGGATGAGTATTTTAACCTTCACACTATATATATTTTGCTGACAACCTCACTATTTATGAATTGGTTCCAGTACTTTATCTTCATCTCAGTTTCTAGCAGGACTCTAGCAGATGTCGTCTTAGGCTGTGCATTGCACATTTTCTGCATTCTAAGGCTCTCTCAGGAAATGGTCAATGAGAGTGTTACTCTGAAGAGGAGTTAATGTACCAAGGAGTGTACACAGCTGTGCTTAAATGAGTTCATGTGCACAGCATTATAGTGAAGAGCAGATATACACTCTGAAATTTCAAGGAATACTCTAGTCTTCTATAAAGTCTTAAAGGTACTGCTACCAAACTTTGTTATGTCCATAGATTTATTTTATGTTTCCTTATTGAATAGAAAGTGATTTTTCAGCTTAAAAGAAATATATACAGTTTTGGTTAGGTTTAGTCCACTTAACAAAACCTAGACATGACCTGAGGAAGAGGGAACCTCAATTAAAGAGTTGTCTCCATCACCGTAGTGTGTGGGACATTTGATTTTGGTTGTTAATTAATATAGCAGAGTCCAGTCCACTGAGATGACATCATTCCTGCACTTGATGATAGAATATAACTTGTAAAAGTAAACCCTTTCTTCCCAAGTGGCTTTTCATCAGTGATTCATCACAACAGAAAGCACACGAGGACATGTACATACCGAAAAAGAAAAACAACATAACACAATTAAGCAGAAGAGACAAAGAACTACTTCTCTACAAACAAGACCACTAACACACTCTCTTATGTACCACCATGTACATACATTTACCCACTCAGAAATAATTTCATATCACTTGTTCATCTAGGTTTTGAGATTTTATCATAATAAAAATAAAGTTACAGTGCCACTGTTTATGGCAGTTCTCTGTTTCAGAACTTCTCTGCATTGAAGAACTTTCTGTAATAAACTCAGTAACAGGAAGAAGACAGCCAAAGCTCTAAAGCTCACTGGCCAGCCTGCCATGCCTTTTCAAAGGTAAGGAAATACACGGACCCAAACAAGCTAACAAGGTGGGCAGCTGCTGAAAATGATACCTGAGGTTGACCTCTAGCATACACACACACAAACACGCAAGTGTGCGCGCGCGCACACACACACACACACACTCCTAAAAGAAAAATGCTAAACTTTAACAAAGAATATGCAGTTTTTGTTCTTGTACCAATTAGGAAATCACACACATGCACTGACACACACACAGACACACACACACACACACACAGCTCACACCTCACTACACAGAGCTGTAAGGATTCATTCAGATGATCAGACCATCTCATATCCTGCTAATGGTGGTGGGAATTTTCCTCCTGAATGCCCCTTTTCTATTGCTTCTAAGGGGCTAATAGAACCAGTATGCCATTTGCTTTCATGGATCATTTATCTCATTAATCCATAGCTTCTACTTTCTCTTTATCCAAGACATGCATCCCACCCTACATTGTTCTACAACAATCCACTTAGAGATTTACTTCTACTATTAACTTTTCTGTCTCCTATTTCTTTTGTCACGTTTATATCTCTTATTTCAATCTATTGTTATTTTCAATTTTAACTCTTTTACCCCTCTGAGTCACCTTTAAGAAAATATACTTTTGGGGCTGGAGAGACGGCTCAGCCGTTAAGAGCATTGCCTGCTCTTCCAGAGGTCCCGAGTTCAATTCCCAGCAACCACATGGTGGCTCACAACCATCTGTAATGAGGTCTGGTGCCCTCTTCTGGCCTTCAGGCATACACACAGACAGAACATTGTATACATAATAAATAAATAAATATTTTAAAAAAAGAAAATACACTTTTGTTTTAATTTTTCAAATGGCTTACTTAATGTATAGTGAAACTGTGCCCTACCTGCCTTAAGACATATACCCAAGGGCCTTCTTGGTTATTTAATACATTATTACATTAATTGGCTGACAGACCTGGCATGGTTGAGAATTGTAAAGATCAGAATCTGCTCATCTTCATTCATTCCACAACAAGATAAAAGTTTTGAATCACTTGTGTTGAACTAGAAACATACATGGGCACAGAGCTGGAAAAGATGGAAAAAACATTGACCCTAGTGCCGAGTCTCAGATGCTGGATGCCGCTCCAATACAAGGAGGGAATCTATGTGGTACACATTGCTAATTATGATGCACTTAAGCCTTATTTTATAAGTTGTTCCCTAAACTTCATGATTGATATTGAAAGTTAGTCAATGAATTTAGTAAATAAATTTAGTCAACAAATTCTCATACACCCTAAATCTCACCCACACACTAATCAAGATGAATTTAGCTTTTTCCTCATTTGTACACATGTATTACTGGCATCTCTTAAAAGAAAAGGCATATACTTGTTCGCTCTGCCTTACGGACCAGACAAGTCAGATAATGCTAAAACCCAATGAAGTTAGCAAGGACTCGGATAAAGAACTAAGGAAGTACAGAGTCTAAGTAAGTGTCTATCTATAATATGGGTGCATAATCCTGGAATCAGATCAAATCATTATGTTTGTTTGACATGACTCACAAAGATTCAAGGTTCTGTGACTAATAGGATAGGGCACAAGTAAATGAAGGTAAGAGTAGGGAAGGAGACCACAGATTGTACCCTCCTGTTTGGTACTACTGACAAGACTCAGGATGACAAAAGGAGAGGTGGGTCAACTAAGGACTGATTTGAGAACACACAGGAAGAAGAATCTTTGGAAATGATCACATACTCTCATCAAACTTTGCAAAACCTTATGTCTTCTGCATCTTCATGGGTGTTCTCATTCTCTCCAACTTCCTCTTCTTGCTCCCCTAAACTCTGTCACTAATACCTTCATGCCTGGTCCCCATCCCAACTGCCTCTAAAACCCCAAGTCTCATAGAAATTCAAAGGTATTAATTTTCTACAGATGTATATAACATCTGGCAGCGCCCCTCTACCAGGCAAGAGACTTTTTTTAAAGCTACATTACTTCATTTGCAATTTATTTCCTCTTTAGAAAGATGATGAAAATTCTAACTGTGGTAGAACAGTTACAAAGAATAAAGTAAAGCATAAAGCATACTGAGTACCCACTCCGTGAGGGCAGCTATCTGGACCTGATGGGTTATTTTCTTGGCTCTCACCATACGTTTGTATCCCCAGGCATTTGAACACAGAGCTCATTTATTTCTCAGAGATGTAGTCGATGGTTGGGTGCCTGGAACTAAACAAAGTGCTTCTCACAATATCATTCTCATTCTTCCCCACAGAACTCTGCAGGGGGTAGGGAAGTAATTTTTACCCTTTCATAGTGGTAGTCTGAGACTTGGAAAAGAACACCTGCCCTAAGAGCCCTGTTATTAATCCATAGACCCTACATGCTTGCATCATCCCAGACCTTCACAGATGTCTCCACTTCTATCCTCAGCTCTTTATTGTACAGTTCATATCCAGCAAGGTTAGGGGAAGGCAGGGTCACCTTTGCCTAAATAGATGCTAGATATTGTGATTAACTAGGATTTCATGGTTGCTATATCTGCCTAGTACACATGCATTTCAATCTTTCTCTGGACTGATGGCCTTTTTTCTCTGCCTCACTGAGTGTCAAAATTTTTAACTTCCAACCTTTAATATCTTTGAAAGACTTGCATCTTTATGAGTTAGTCTAGGGACAAGTTGATGTTCATTTGGTTCATGTTGGATAGATATATGAATGAAATACTTAAGAGAAATTTTCTAATCCTGAAATTGTTTGAAGTTTGGTGAAAAAGAAAGAAATCAGGAACATTTCTATCACACCAAGGTACCTCTTCCATATACAAATAACAGAGTTCCCTTAGTGTCTGTCCAATTTGTCACACATGTACATCCCATGTTAAGCATGTTGATGAGTGTGGGACATTATTTTCTGATTAAACCATTTCTTCTATGAGGATGTCCACAAAACTGCCCCAACATCAAGTTTATAAGCACCTTCCTTGACCTTTGTCAGGTCAAATGTGTCACATGTTCTCTTTTCATAAGATTTCAGGGTGCTGTCGATCAGTGATTTTGCTTCTTCATTGAAACTTATATCCTCATGTTTTTCTCTAGGTAGACATTGAAGGTGCATAGTCAGTCCATGAGACTTATATTAATGAACTTTTATATAATATAATAAAACTTTTTCCTAATTTGAATTTAAGTTTAGTGCAGTTAAGGAAACCACAACTTCAGAAATATTTCCACAGACAATGGCACATCTCCCCACTCACAGAAACCTCTCAACATGAATCCCATTAGCTACACACTTGCCTGCCATCCTTGGAAACCCAGACACAGGCACACTTAACTATAACTCTTGTTATATTTTTCAGTTTGTGAAGAAATATGGGAACATTTTTAGCCTGAATCTTGGTGATGTAAATTCAGTAATGATAACTGGACTCCCCTTAATCAAAGAAGTCTTTACTCACATGGAAGAAAACATTTTGAAACGCCCTATCACTCGTACCCGAGAACGTATCTCTAGTAACAATGGTAAGTTTATTGAGCAACATGGTGTGTGCATTATAGTGATTCTGATATGTTAAGCATAGCTGTATCTAACTTTCCAACATAGCCATAAACAATTCTACCATAATTTATTATATTTAAAGGAAGCAGAATGTCACATTTCCTGAATGAAAGTACCCATCAGAGTACTAAACAGTGTCATCTCATTTCAAGAGATTAGAAATAACCACATCTTGAATTAGCTAATTATAAATGTGTTGGTGAGAAGGAACCCTAGCATCCAGCCACAGCCAGACACACTGTGTTCTTACTTCCCTTTTCCCTCGCCAACCCTCTGTCCCAAGAAAACTGGAGTAATTCAGCCCCATCCTGCTGCTGCTCTTCTTGTTTCTGCCTTCTCATACTCCATTATTAAAGCCATGCAACACAGAACTCTCCAGCCTTCTAGACAGGGTTAGACGAGTACAGCACGAACACTCAAGATCACCATTATATCAGGTTGTATGCTCCAAAATTGAAAGCAGAACTTCAAGTGTATTGACCTGCCAAATTGTCAGTTTTAGACATTTCCTAATTTCTCCTTCAGGTAATGAATCATTAATTGTACATAATAAACTGTGTTATCTGTTATAGGAAACACAGAGCTAGGCACACGTTATTCATAGTGCACATAATAGATAAAATCTCCATCTTTATATAACATATACTCCATCAAATACAATATGCTGAGCCATTAGCTAATTAAATCACACAGAACTACAAGGTTAAGGGTAAAAGATATTTATCAGAAGTATCAAACTTGTACTAAACTTAGGAAAAACCTGTAAGAGGAGATTCCCACATCACCTCCCCTTTTCTGTTTAAATAAAAAAGGTTTTAACTTTAACATAGTAAAATTACATACAACAAAACAGTTATCAAGTAAGAATTACAGTTACAATATTTCTATTTACTTTATCTTTTTTAAATAAATCTTTATTTATTACATATACAGTGTTCTGCTTGCATGTATACTTGCAGGCCAGAAGAAGGCACCAGATCTCATTACAGATGATTGTGAGCCACCCTGTGGTTGCTGGGAATTGAACTCAGGACCTCTAGAAGAGCAGTCAGTGCTCTTAACCTCTGAGCCATCTCTCCAGCCCCCTTTACTTTATCTTTTATCATAACAAGGAAAACTATTTTTCTACTCCATCAAAGACTCCATAAGGATATACTATTACCTAAGTAAACAAGAAGTGCGTTGTAAGCAACTTTCAAAACTCTAGAAATGAAAGAGACATCTCACTGCCTGGGTAGTCACCCAGAGTTCTTCTATACCATTGGGGAATCCATCTTCAGCCTACAGGCCTATAGTATCCAGCAGAATTTTCCGTGAAGCAGGAAAATTCAAAGACAGGTCTGCCTATATTAGCAATTTTCCAGTCACTTTCTTCTGTATACTGCAGAATATCTTGCATGTAGCAGGAACTCCAAAGGATCGTCTCACCTTTAGGCAAGCTCATCAGTTATTTCTCTGTGGATCCTTCATTTCTAGTTCATCTAACAACTCCATAAGGAGCCTCTTCAATGCCCATCTTCTTCTTGAAGTAGATTGATGCTGCCAGGAGCATATGTGTCTCACTGTCATGAAAAGTCCTAAATTTTTAAAACACTTAGATGCCATATTCTGAAGATCTTTGAAAGATTTGAAGAATACCTAACTAAATGAAATATATCCCTATATATCAAAACCTAATTAACATGACTACAAGTTTGACTATTATAGATGAGTACCTATTAACTTATACTTCTTAATTATAGATTACATTTTAAATGAAATGCACAAACACAATACCTNNNATATAACAAAATTAATCTTAAATTTGTATCAATAAACCAAAATCCATACCAATACAAATTATTCATATCTATATCATATCCCCCTTTAAATGTAAACAAACATTTATAGACAATATTTAGGAATATGGGCCTAGTTTTCTTCATATTACTTCCTACTGTTTTGGGGAGCTGTTAATCAGGTCTTTCATGGTGTATCTTATGGGCTAAGTTCATTTCAGTCAGCAGTTGGATGAAGTATTTTCTTTGTGGGAGTGTTAACAACAACCTATCAGGGGATCTTGTTCCATGAAACCATATTGGTCTGGAAGCAATCCACAAGTTCTCATCTTCTTTGGAAACAAGATAATTTTACCAAAGCCAATTTGAAAGTTATGATACCTTTATATGCTGTTTTAGCTTAACAGCCCATACAATGAAATGTCTCTCTGTACTTAACTCCTTCACAGTCAAAAAAATCAAAGAAAATACGATAATATAAATAATCCAGACTCTCTGTGTATAGTCCATCTTTACGTGGCTTATCTTTTTTTATTCCCTTTAATCTATTACTGCCTGTATTCTATCGCTTGAAGACTTTGTTTTAAGTTTTTAAAAAAGAACCATTTACTTTTTTATGACTCTCTGTACTCCTTTGCTTTTGTCTCCCAAGCCTATGTACATTTATCCAACACTGCGACTCATTTATAGGTGTTTATTTTATCTGAATTTGTCTTTATTGCATATCTATAACTACTTTCTGAACAGAAGCACTTCTTAAAATTCTAAACACTTATTAATATAAGCTGCAACCTTGCTAGGTTAAATACTATACTCCCTGCTTGCCCTGCCCAGTCCAGCATGGCGGAGCCGCTTGAGCCTCTGAGAGCCAAGCACACCACCCCAATTTCAGACACACAGCCAGTGTATGTCACCATTAATTAAGTTGCAGAAGTCTGCTCACAAACCCCATCCAAATGCTTTGTATCCTACAAGAGCCAGAGGTCATACTGAAAGCATAGCCCAGAAAGCTGGCATTTTAAAATGGCCACAGCTTTTTTTCCTGCTATGGCTGAATCAGGAAAATCTCTCTTAAAGGATCCATGCCTCTGCTTGCTTCTAGCAAACAGAGCCCATCCAAGAAAGTGCTGATAGCAAACCAGAGAGTTTAACTCTGTTCTTTTGTGTCCAGAATTAATTTTTAAGCTTTCTCCGGTTTTTATGTGAATGTAGTTACCCACATTGGCACACCAATTGTAGGAGGATGGAGTGCTTGTTTGTCCCGGCCACCTAGAATTTAAATAATCACACAGAAACTGTATTAATTAGATCACTTGGTTGGCCCATTAGCTTTAGCTTCTTATTGGCCAATCCTTACATCTTACTTTAACCCATTTCCATTAACCTGTATATCACTATGAGGTTGTGGCCTACCAGCAAAGTTTCAGCACATCTACCTCTGGCCACAGATCCATGGTGTCTCCTGACTCTGCCCTTCTTTCTCCCAGAATTCAGTCCAGTTCTCCCTGCCCACCTAAGTTCAGCTGTATCAACAAGCCAAAGCAGTTTCTTTATTCATTAATTATAATCAAAGCATACAAAGGAGATTCTCATGTCAGAGCTGATGATTTCTTTAACGTTAAGGAATTCACTTGCACATGTCATTGCATGTGCCATGAATTAGGTGGTAGATGCTAAACAGACCAGAATGTTTGTCTCCTGTTCTTTCTCTGTGGAATACTGATGCTTCTTATCTTATTGATTAATTATTTATATTTAAAGCTTGTATTGAATAGGAATTCTCTTATAGAGCCTTTTATACCTCTTTAATTTATGTGCCTTGTGTTATCCTTTAGTTCATTCCTGTTATTCAACTTAACACAACTAAGTAGATTTTTGTGTCAGCTTAGAACCAAGGTGATATGAATTTGAATCCCTGAGTGTTAAACAACTGTGTTCGCTTGGAAAGTTTTGTTATGTATTCTTCCATTCTTTGCAGCAATGGGAATGGACCTATTGCTAGTTGGTAATAAACATGCAGAGACCTTAAAGAGTAGATTACACAATATATAAGAAATACCAGTGTGTGATTTTGCCGATCACCAGGATGTTAGCCATCATGCTTTTTGCTTTGGGGTATTCTCTCTAGACAGTTACCAAATCCCTTATTGGCCCTTCTTTTTTCCATTGCACATATGTCATAGAGTTCAGGAGGTAATGTTAGACCAGAATTTCAGTGTAATAATGCTGAATGTCTTCTTTTCAGGATTGGTCTTCTCCAGTGGCCAGACATGGAAGGAGCAAAGAAGGTTTGCTCTGATGACCCTGAGGAACTTTGGGTTGGGAAAGAAGAGCTTAGAGCAGCGTATGCAGGAGGAAGCCCAATACCTTGTGGAGGCCATAAAAGAGGAGAAAGGTGGGCATTCCACATGGCAGGTGTGGGAGGCTGTTAGAGACTATGGCCCTCTCATTCGTTGAACACATTCTTCCTAAATGTTTACGTGCTTGCTCTGGTCACTGTGCTGTGCTTTGAACTGAGGATTAGGCAGTAAACTTGTAGCCATGACCATGAGCTGGGAGTCCTGCAGGTAAGCACACAGATGGTCATTAGACACACTGCTGCACCTAAGGCCTGGTCATCAGTTGAGCCTCCCAGTATTAGCAGAGTCCCTGAAGCATGTCAGTCTTTATGTAGTATGCTCTGACCAGAGCCTCTTCCATGGTTTTCTGCAATGTGTATTCCTCTATCATATCAAATTAATTCAGTATAGGAAATAGAAACAAATGAATAACTTTGAAGGACTCATCCCTCCCTCTTTCCACCCCCAGGACAGCCTTTTAACCCTCACTTCAGCATCAACAATGCAGTTTCCAATATCATTTGCTCTGTCACTTTTGGGGAGCGCTTTGAGTACCATGACAGTCAGTTTCAGGAGATGCTGAGGCTACTGGATGAGTCCACGTGTTTGGAGGCATCAATGACGTGCCAGGTAAGCACTCTTCTTTGTGTATCTGCCAAAAGTATTACAAGTGTCATTTTATAGCTGATAACATTTGAAATATTGAATTTGATCCAAATATCTTTCAAGTCCACCTTCTGACTTTGATCTTTTGTTGATTATAAGAATCTTAATATATACAAAACATTTCTATCATTTATTTGAACTATTTTGATATTTATATTGGTCTATAGACATGCCTACAGGAATGCTGATATCATTTAGAGAATGGAAATAATATTATTTACTTGGACTTTCTTTTTTTCCCTGCTACTACTCTCTTCCTACGTTAGTCACCTTCAAAAGGAACTTTCTAGCATATTTACTTGTATTGAAATTCTTCTTTGTACCCTGTTCCTTGTTATCTGTAGACCAGAAGTACACTGAATGTGTTGTTGTTTTTATCTACAGTTAGATAAATGAGTTGTTCTAGTTTTAGGAGTTATGAATAATAGTTTTATATCAGTGTCCATTTGGCGAATCCATTTGTCTTATATTTGCATCTGAACATATAATATAACTAAATATTTAGAAGTGCACTATCCCCATACCCATCGACATGATGCAATCAGTCTAAAAACCAGAAAATATACACATTTGAGGTTCAAATGACACCTCCAGCAGTGGCCAATTTTCCATGTCTACTCCTTATAGCCACTTGAATACTTCACATATCTGTCAGCCATGCTCATGACTCTTTAAGACACTTGTATGTTGGCATTAACCACAAGGGCTTGATGTTATCTAAATGGTTTTCCTTCTGCTAAGCCTGCTGCAGTAGCCCATCACTACCTTTGTGTATACACATTGGAGAATGTGTGTGCAGATGTTTGTGTATTTTTCCACATTTTCAAGATATTGTACTTTGTTACATGTGTGGGTGCATACAAGTCAGAGAACAACTTTGAGGAATATATTCTCTGCTTCCATTATGTGTATATCACAAATGTAAAAGTGTGTGTGTGTATATACCTTTTTGTTTGCAATTGTCATGATTTATTAATTGTTGCCCGCATGCAATGTCTTTATTGCTTATGACTCTTTGGATTTAAAGTCTGTTTTAACTCAGATATGAGAATTACCATGTCATCTTGTTCAACTTCTGTTTGTTTTAGAAATTATTTTCTTCTCTTTGATTCTTAATTTGTGGTGATCTTACCTGTAAGGTGTGTTTCCTAGAAACAACACGAACTTTGATCTAGGTTTTAAATTTGGTCAGCTAGTCTGTGTCTCTTTTTAGCTTGTTGGAGTCACTTACATTCAACATATTATTAAATCATATAACTACTGTGGTTTTATTGTTTTTCTTCTTAGTTAGATCATTTTGACTTTACTTTCTTCCCTATTACTACTAAGGATTACTTGTTGTCTGTGTTAGACATGATGGATGTTTCCCTAGTTCTCATTTTCTCAACCATTCATCTTATGAAATTTATATTTTTTCTGTGTTCTCATAAGTGGCATTCTTTTTACTCTGTGTATAATACTCCTTCAAACACCTTCAGTATTGTTGGATTAGTGCTCCTGAATTGCTCTGATTTTCACTTTTCCTAAAATATTCATGTTTTTCCATTAATTTTAAATGATAGCAATTCTGGATACGGGGTCCATGTTTGACAATTACTTTCAGAGCATAAGCTGTGTCATCTCATGTTTTCTTGGCTTGGAGATTGATGATATAAAATTTAATACTCTAATTTTTATGACTTTGCACATAAGTTAATATTTTTTTCCTTACAGCTTTTGTATTTTTTGACATATTTAACAAATCACAGAGGTGCTTTCCTCTGGAGTATTTATTTTAAAGGTCTAAATACCACTTGTCTTTGAAAATCTATTTCTGTCTCTATATTTGGGGAAAATGTCTGCTATAAATTCATTGAAATTATTCTCTATGCACTTATTTTTTTATCCCAGATCTTTGTTTTCTTATCTGTGACCCTGCAATCCTGTGGCAGCTGAGGTCCAGTTTCTGATTGTGTCTCTGAGTTCTTAGACATTATACTCATGCCCATTATTCCCTAATGGAATGAATGAAGCGTGTCCTCAACATTGGGCTCCATTCCTGACAGATAGTCTTCTGCATAGTTTAGTCTGTTGGTGATGGATTTTAGTGTGTTATTGACTCATTGAGCTATTTATTTTCACCATTTCCATTTTTTTAAAAGCAAAACCTCAGCTTCTTGCTGGACATGTCTTCCATTTTGTTGATCTTTTCAATTGATTTGCTGATTTTCTCATCCACTTTGCTGTTTTTTTTTTCTTTCTAGTGTTGACTTTCTTCCCCAGGTCCTTTATTGTATTCATCTGCTTTCTTATAGCCTCCAAGCCACTGATGATATTTTGTAGAAAACTTTTCAGCTTTTATTGTACTTGTTTCAGTACCTGTGAATACATTAATTCAGGAGTTCATGATTTTTAGTGGCATTCAACCCACTTGTATTTACATATTTCTTGTGTTTCTGTGCCACACTCTGTGTTCTCTTGGACACTCTTCTGGAGTGTGTGCAGATAGCAGTTGTGGATGTTTTGACTTTATTATATTTTGGGTTCATAATGCTTCCAGAGAGAATGAATCTGAAGCACAGAATCTGGTCCTTCAAAAGCTCATTTTTCTCTTGAAGACTTTCTGTTCCTATGCATGGATTCTCCATAATGTACCCCAAAGTGGATTTATTTTTACTCGTCTCCATTTCTGTTTCCTCCTCAACTTCAGGGCTGCCCTCACTAATAACTGAGAAATTAGTTGGCATGACTTACATGTATGAAAACAGGCATAAAGAATGAGATCAGTTGCATTTATTTCCTACCCTATTTTGTATTCTGTGTTTTAGCTCTTGGTCATTGTAGTCCAAACCCAGCAGCTCCATTATTTTGCTTCCAGTACACAGAGTCAGGGAAGTCAGGGGAGTCCAGGAAGTACCAGGCTCCCTTCTAGGTGTGTGTATCAAGGGGAAAATATCTTAGAAGGGAATTAAAGGTGGAAGAGAGTGATAATAAACATTCTCGGAATGACTGCTTACGTCAGACACTTTGATGGACAGCTGCAAAAGTTTACTAATTTTTCACTATGATCTTTTACATATAAAATGCTGCAATATGGTGTCTGCAAGTAGGCACAGAGATGTCTAAGAAAAGATAGACAGTAGTCCACCACACATCTGTGGAATGCTTTGAGTATCTCATGACTTTCAGTGTTTGAATACAGGGAGACCCCATTAGCACACTGTGCATTTTCCATACTATTAACATTGTTATTCTCATTATTATATCTGCTACAATTCATTATAACCAGAAGGAAACAGAGGTATAAGTCACACCCATGTCTGTCTCATTTTAAATGTTGTTGATTTTACATTTTGTTATGCACTACAAATTTTATAGAAACATCAATCACAATTAGCTTTAATTCAGTAAAGATTGCAGTCTTACCATATGGGGTTTAAACCATGGTGGGGTAATCAGAATGTGCAGTTACTTGTACAATATATGTTACTGGTAATTTCCCAGAGAGAAAATAAGTCATGATAGAGAAATAGAAAGATGAAAAAAGTGCCTGTTATTTTAATCAGGTAAGGGATCTGTAAGGAGACTTGAGCGATGATTTCATGAAGTGGGGGACAGGGCTATAACTCCTTCAGCAACATTTTCTTTTTATTTATTTATTTATTTATTTATTTATTTATTTATTTATTTATT